CTTATGCCATACCAAGGTCTGCTGCACCTAGAGCCCTTCCCCTGCAGCAGGCCATTGCTGACCCATGCCTCCACAGGAGATACTCAAACACAGTTCTGTCTCAGTCTCTGTGAGGTCGTTGGGTCCTACTGTGCACAAAGTTTATTTGAGCCCTCCAAGTGTCTCTGGTGGGTGTGGTGTTTGATTCTAAATGCAATTTCACCCCTCCAACCATCTTGCTAGGGCTTCTTCGACCTTGGACGTGGGGTATCTTTCCTTGGTTGGATCCAACATTTTCCTGTCAAGGGTTGTTCAGCAGCGAGTTGTAATTTTGGAGTTCTTGTACCCCAATGTAATTTTGGAGTTCTTGCAGGAGAAGATTAGCACACATCTTTCTAATCCACCATCTTGAAACTTGTCTGGCTCAATGAAACTATGAGCCATGCTGTGTAGGGCCACCCAAGACAGACAGGTCATGGTGGAGAGTTCTGACAAAACGTGGTCCACTGGAGAAGCAAATGGCAAACCACTTCAGTATTCTTTCCTTGAGAATTTCATGAACAGTATGAAAAGGCAAAAAGATAAGACACTGAAAGACGAACTCCCCAGGTTGGTAGATGCCCAATATGCTACTAGATATCAGTGGAGAAATAACTCCAGAATGAAGAGGTGGAGCCAAAGCAAAAACAACACCCAGCTGTGGATGTGACTGCTGATGGAAGTAAAGTCAGATGCTGTAAAGATCGATACTGCATAGGAACTTGGAACGTTAGGTCCATGAATCAAGATAAATTGGAAGTGGTCAAACAGGAGATGGCAAGAGTGAACATCAACATTTTAGGAATCAGTGAACTAAAATGGACTGGAATGGGTGAATTTAACTCAGATGACTATTATATCTACTACTGTGGGCAAGAGTCCCTTAGAAGAAATAGAGTAGCCATCGTAGTCAATAAAAGAGCCAAAATGCAGTGCTTGGGTGCAATCTCAAAAATGACAGAATGATCTCTGTTCGTTTCCAAGGCAAACCATTCAATATCAGAGCAATCCAAGTCTATGCCCTGACGACTAATGCTGAAGAAGCTGAATTTGAGTGGTTCTATGAAGACCTACAAGACCTTCAAGAACTAACATCCAAAAAAGAAGTCCTTTTCATTATAGAGGACTGGAATGCCAAAGTAGGGAGTCAAGAGATACCTGGAGTAACAGACAAATTTAGCCTTGGAGTAAAAAATGAAGCAGGGCGAAGGCTAACAAGAGTTTTGCCAAGAGAGCGCACTGGTCATCACAAACACCCTCTTTCAACAACACAAGAGAAGGTTCTACACATGAACACCACCAGATGGTCAATAACAAAATCACATTGATTATATTCTTTGCAGCCAAAGCTGGAGAAGCTCTATACAGTCAGAAAAAAACAAGACTGGGAGCTGACCGTGGCTCAGATCATGAACTCCTTATTGCCAAATTCAGACTTAAATTGAAGAAAGTAGGGAAAACCACTGGACCATTCAGGTATGACCTAAATCAAATTCCTTACGATTATACAGTGGAAGTGACAAATAGATTCAAGGGATTAGATTTGATAGACACAGTGCCTATGTGTCTATGGACACAGGACAGAGGTTTGTGACATTGTACAGGAGGCAGTGATCAAGACCAACCCCAAGAAAAAGAAATGCAAAAAGGCAAAACAGTTGTCTGAAAAGGCCTTACAAATAGTTGAGAAAAGAAGAGAAAGGCAAAGGAGAAAAGGAATGATACACCCATTTCAATGCAGAGTTTCAAAGAATAGCAAGGAGAGATAAGAAACATTTCCTCAGTGAATAGTGCAAAGAAATAGAGGAAAACAATAGAATAGAAAAGACTAGCGATCTCTTCAGGAAAATTAGAGATACCAAGGGAACATTTCACGCAAAGATGGGCTCAATTAAGGACAGAAATGGTATGGACCTAACAGAAGCAGAAGATATTAAGAGGAGGTGACAAGAATACACAGTAGAATTATATAAAAATAAGATCTTCATGACCCAGATAACCATGATGGTGTGATCACTCACCTAGAGCCAGACAGCCTGGAATGCAAAGTCAAATGAGCCCTAGGAAACACCACTACAAACAAAGCTAGTGGAGGTGATGGAATTCAAGTTGAGCTATTTCAAATCCTAAAAGATGATGCTGTGAAAGTGCTGCACTCAACATGTCAGCAAATTTGGAAAACTCAGCAGTGGCCACAGGACTGGAAAAGGTCAGTTTTCATTCCAATCCCAAAGAAGGGCAATGCCAAATAATGTTCAAATTACCACACAGTTGCACTCATATCACATGCTAGCAAAGTAATGCTCAGAATTCTCCAAGCCAGGCTTCAACAGTACATGAACCATGAACTTCCAGATGTTCAAGCTGGATTTAGAAAAAGCAGAGAACCCAGAGATCAAACGGCCAATATCTGTTGGATCATCAAAAAAGCAAGAGAGTTCCAGAAAAACATCTACTTCTGCTTTATTGACTATGCCAAAGTCTTTGACTGTGTGGATCACAACAAACTGTGGGAAATTCTTCAAGATATGGGAATACCAGACTGAGAGGGTAACAGGCAGGAAGGCCAGGGGTCTCCAAATGGAGGAAATAGGCTGCAAGTGCCAGACATTTTTATCTCTCTTAAGCAGCAGGAGGAAACAAACTGGTGATATTCTTTTCCTTCTCTATACACATTTAAAAGGAGGTTTCTCTTAAAATGCTGTGTTGCCATGACACCTGGTTTCACCTGAAGCTAACTATTCTCAAAACGTTGAGTTAACCAATACATTTTTCTTATGGAAATGTTTGTCTTAAGCTATGTTAATGTGCTATGCATTTACCCCAGACTCTGTAAGTTCCACCAAATGGCTCAGAAACTACTTGACAGACCAGTGTGTTATACTCAGGTATTGTTCCCCTAATCTATGTAAATGAAACTAGTTGTTTGGTAATCTGCCATTCTACAAGATTCAAGTCAATCATTCTGTGGCCTGGGATGAATTATCTGGTGCCAAGATTATCACAAAATGCAACTTATGGATGAGGGGCCTGGTGCCATTCTGAGTTTTAAGACATTCTTTTCATTAACAGGCTGCCAGTGACTATATAACATCCAGCTAAAGACTAGCAGGGGAGTACTCTTTCTGCCCCGTTCTGATGCCTATGTCAGAAGCTTTCTCTATCTCCTTTATACTTTAATAAAACTTTATTACACAAAAGCTCTAAGCAATCCAGCCTTGTCTCTGGCCCTGGATTGAATTTGTCTCCTCCGGAGGCCAAGAATCCCAGCGTCTTATCGTTCAGCAACAACCTTTCAAGACCACCTTACCTGCCTTCCTAGAAATCTGTATGCAAGTCAAAAAGTAACAGTTAGAATTGGCCATGGAACGACAGACTGATTCCAAATAGGAAAAAGAGTATGTCAAGGCTGTATATTGTCACCCTGCTTATTTAACATCTATGCAGAGTACATCATGTGAAATGCCAGGCTGGATGAAGCACAAGCTGGAATCAAGATTTCTGGGAGAGATATCAATAACCTCAGATATGCAGATGACACCACCCTTAAGGCAGAAAGCAAAGAGGAACTGAAGAGCCTCTTGATGAAAGTGAAAGAGGAGAGTGAAAAATTTGGCTTAAAACTCAACATTTAGAAGACTATGATCATGGCATGCAGTCCAATCACTTCATGGCATGTAGATGGAAATAGTGAGAGACATTATTTTCTTAGGCTCCAAAATAACTGAAGATGGTGACTTCAGTCATGAATTAAAAGACACCGGTTCCTTGGAAGGAAAGCTATGATCAACCTAGACAGCATATTGAAAAGTAAAGACATTACTTTGCTGACAAAGGTCCATCTAGTCAAGGCTATGGTTTCCAGTAGTTATGTATGGATGTGAGAGTTAGACTATAAAGAAAGCTGAGCATCAAAGAATTGATGCTTTTGAACTGTGGTGTTGGGGAAGACTCTTGAGAGACCCTTGAACTTCAAGGAGATCCAACCAGTCCATCCTAAAGGAAATCAGTCCTGAATATTCATTGGAAGGACTGATGCTGAAGCTGAAACTCCAATATTTTGGCCACGTGATGCAAAGAGCTGACTCATTGGAAAAGACCCTGATGCTGGGAAAGATTGAAGGTGAGAGGATAAGGCAAACAGAGAATGAGCTGATTGGATGGCATCATTGACTGATGGACATGAGTTTGAGTAAGCTCCAGGAGTTGATGATGGACAAGGAAGCCTGGTGTGCTGCAGTCCATGGGGTTGCAAGAGTCTGAGACGATAGAGTGACTGAACTGAAATGATGTCTGAAGTTAATAAAGCATTGTAAGTCAACTATACTTCCATTAAAAAATAATATATTTAAGAAATAATAACAAAAATACAAATAATTTAAGAACAAAGTACAAATGGATCTATAATCTCCCCTCAAGCTAGAGGATAAGATTACTCTTTCTATATAAACTCTTCATTGCTCCCTGAAGCAAATAGCTTGGAAAATTCTTTTCATTTCCATCGATCAAGTTAACCCAGGATAAAAGTCACTTGTGTCCTCTGAGAATAGAGGAACTTGAAGAGGATTATGAAGAAAATGGTTCTGCCTAGCAAGACAGGTTTTCATCCCATGCATCCTTGATGGATTCCCATTGAGACCAAAAAGCAAATCCATCTTAGCTGGACCCAATCAGGTTTCCAGGTAACATTTAGAGGGAAAAGATGGCTAGATAGGTAGATGGATAAATGGATGGATAGAGATGTAGGTAGATCCTAAATATTGATAGTTATTGAATTAATGGTCTAAATAGTAAGTTCTAAATGGAAGGAATTTCAGAGATCATTGGTCCAAATACAGAAGGATCCTATTACAGTCATGAAACTGAACCCCAGAGCAGATAATTGATTTCTCAACTATCCCATACCTAGATTTAGAAAAAGGCAGAATTCTCCACACTCCAGAGCTTGTTTCCTTTTTCTTTATTTGCTGACTTTTCTTTGCCTAATTCACAATGTAAGTTCCTGGCTTCTCAGAAGCATCAAAGAGAGACTCAGACTCCATATCCTAACACCAAACTGCAAGTGGAAGTGGCTGGGACACATTCCAAGTGTTATCTTCTTTCCCAGGGCTCCTTTGGTTCAGAGATAATATATAAAATGTCTTAATAATACAGCAGGAATCAGGGTGGGCAAGTGCCAGAAACAAACAAAAAAACTAAAGCAAAATATTATCTAGTAGAGTTCTGGAAATATGTGGGAAGGGAAAGATTCAAGGACAACTCTCACATACTTGGTAAAATAATTGGATTAGATGGTGATGAGATAGAAGTAAAAGCATTTGGGGGGAATCAAGGTTGCAATTTTAGACTAGTTGAATTCAGATACCTAAGAAACCAGCAAGTGAAAATATAAACAATTTTTATATATAAAAAAATTACATCATAGCCATTTCCCCATGCCACCCTATAATTGTAATTGATATCACTACTGGTTGCATAATATTAAGCTGAAAGAATGAACCAAAATTTACCCAACTATTCTACTATTATAGATTTATGTGTGTGTGCATGCTCAGTTGCTCAGTCATATCCAACTCATTTCAACCCCTATGGACTGCAACTTGCCAGACCCCTCTGTCCATGGGATTATCCCAGAAAGAATACTGGAACAGGTTGCCATTTTCTCCTCCAGGGGATCCTCCTGACCCAGGGGTTGAACCCACTTCTCCTGTGACTCCTACATTGGCAGGCAGATTCTTTATCACTGAGCCACATGGAAAGCCCCAGACTTATGTGGGTACTTCATTATTTAAATAGCATTTGTGGGGACTTCCCTAGGGTCCACCAGATGCAGGGGGGCTGGGTTCCATCCCTTGTCAGGGAACTAGATCCCACATGCCTTAATGAAGATCGAAGGTCCTGAGTGCTGCAACTAAGACCCAGCATAGCCAAACAAATAAATTTTTTAAAAAACATCACTTGTGGTAGGCAAAATATTGCCCCTGAACAAAAGACGTCCACATCCTAACCCCTGAACCCTATGAATATATTAGGTTACTTGGCAAAGGGGAATTAAGATGACACATGGAATTAAGTTGCCAATCAGCTGAGTCTGAGATGGGGAAATTAGCTTGAAGTATCCAGGTGGGCATGGCAAATAGATGGGGAAACAGAGGAAACAATGGCTGACTTTATTTTTCTGGGCTCCAAAATCACTGCAGATGGTGATTGCAGCCATGAAATTAAAAGATGCTTACTCCTTGGAAGGAAAGTTATGACCAATCTAGACAGCATATTAAAAAGCAGAGACATTCCTCTGTCAACCAAGGTCCATCTAGTCAAGACTATGGTTTTTCCAGTAGTCATGTATGGATGTAAGTGTTGAACTATAAAGAAAGCTGAGCGCCGAAGAATTGATGCTTTTGAACTGTGGTGTTGGAGAAGACTCTTGAGAGTCCCTTGGACTGCAAGGAGATCCATCCAGTCCATCCTAAAGGAAATCAGTCCTGAATATTCATTGGAAGGACTGATGCTGAAGCTGAAACTCCAATACTTTGGCCTCCTGATGCGAAGAGCTGACTCATTTGTGAAGACCCTGATGCTGGGAAAGATTGAGGGCAGGAGGAGAAAGGGATGACAGAGGATGAGATGGTTGGATAGCATTACCAACTCAATGGACATGGGTTTGGGTGGACTCTGGGAGTTGGTGATGGACAGGGAGGCCTGGCGTGCTGTCAGTCATGGGGTCACAAAGAGTCGGACAAGACTGAGCGACTGAACTGAACTGAACTGAATCCAGGTGGGACAGGTGTAATCACAGGGTCCTTCTAAGTGGTACCGGGAGGCAAAAGAGACAGAACCAGGGAGATAACATTGTGAGAAGGAATGGACCCAAGCTTGCTGGCTTTGATCATGAAGGAATGGGGCCCTGAATCAATGAATGTGGGCAGGGAAGACTCTAGAAGCCCCAAGAGATAAGAAAACTGGTTCTTCCCTGGAGTCATTGGAGGAAACGCAGACCTACTGACATCCTGATTTTAGCCCAGTGAGACCTACTTCAAAACTCTGAGCTCCAGAATGGAAGACAATAAAATTTGTTTTGTTTTAAGCTGATGAATTTATAGAATTGTTACAGCAGCAGTAGGAAATGAATACAAAACTGTTCCATTCCTTTTTTGTCTAAGTCTTTATCATTTCAGAGTGTTTAAATAACACTCTGCAAATTAAGAAATAGGATTATTGAGTCAGAAACAGAAGTATGTTTAAAATAAATGGCATTAATTTCCAGAATTTTTTTTCCATTTATTTTTATTAGTTGGAGGCTATTGAACCAGTTCTAATGAGATGGATGAAACTGGAGCCCATTATACAGAGTGAAGTAAGCCAGAAAGATAAAGACCAATACAGTATACTAACGCATATATATGGAATTTAGAAAGATGGTAACGATTACCCTATATGCAAAGCAGAATTTTTTAATCTAATGACCACCAGTAGTATATGATAGTGCCTTGTTCACTTTTTTAAATTAATTAATTTATTTATTTTAATTGGAGGCTAATTACTTTACAATATAGTAGTGGTTTTTGCCACACATTGACATGAAGTAGTATATGATAATGCCTTGTTCACTTTCTGTTTAATAAACTTTGAGTGTGATTCTATCAATCCAATATTTTACATATAGTTAGCAAGCAATATTCAGTCTGGCTGTCCTTGATGACTGTTTCTCTTCCTATCACGTCTTGGAAAAGTATGCTACAAACACTCCAGGACTTCCAGCAGTTCCTATTTAGCCTTTCAGTCACTGTTGAAAGTGAAAGTGTTAGTCACTCAGTGGTGTCAGACTCTGTGACCCCTTGGAGTATAGCCCTCCAGACTCCTCGTCCATGGGATCCTCCAGCAAGAATACTGGAGTGGGTTGCATGCCCTTCTCTAGGAGATCTTCCTGATCCAGGGATCAAACCTGGGTCTTCCGCATTGCAGGCAGATTCTTTACCATCAGTGTTAGGAACAAGGAATGACAAGAGTTTTGACTTCAAGTAAAGACTTCTGGTTATTTTGACTAAGAAAATCTGCACTGACACTTCTTTAAGGGTCAGGATGTTCAGAATAATGTTCATGAGTGAAAGATTCATGAGTGAGTGAAAGATTGTGTTTAGAAAAAAAACCTTCCCAAACCCTAAACCTTTTGCATCTTTCTTTTCTGCTTTGGTTTTGGATACATCCATCTTCCTGCTACTGAGGGCCGGGAGTCTGCTCCTCCGAAAACCGAACCAGCTGGCAAAAGAAGGCCCCGGCTTCGGCCTCGCTTCCACAGAGGTGGCCTTTGTTTGCACTTGGCCCTTTTCCACATTTTCCTGAATGCACAACATGACCTTTTCTTCAATTGTGGGTGAGAGGGGGGCTTCTGGGCTTACGACACCGGCCCTGGTTGCAGAAGCGTCTGGATACCTTCCAGAAGTTTCTAGCTTGGAGGTCCTGCTTGCTGTGAAATTGCTGGGATGTGGTGTCCTCCCCAGACTCTGTGGGCCTCCTGAGCTATCTGTTGGGGTGAGTGGGCACCTGCAGTGGTCACTGCCTGGCCCCTCAGGTACAGTCGCCCCGGGGCCTTCTCCCTGGGCGTAGGCCTGCTGCTCTTCTGTTCCAGCTGGGGTGAGGGGCTCTTCGGATTTTGGAGGGATCCTCAAAGGCAACTTGCTTGGGCTCCCGTGCTGGCTGCTGGAGCTGCCTGTGCTCCCCAAGGAACCCTGCCTAGGGGAAGGGTGTCCCAGGGGCCGCCCAGAGCTGGGGAGCCCATCAGACCCAGGGCCAGACGCAGTCCTGCTGGGGGAGCCTTCGGTGGAGGAGCTCTGCCGGGTGAGGGAACTGCCTCTCTCAGCGGTGTTGGTGATAATCTGAGTCCGGACTTTGCCCAGCCCTTCTGTGGGGGGCGTGGGGGGCTCTTCCCCTGAGCGAGCACTGCAGCTCTGGCTGCGGGCTTTGGCTCCATTCATGCCTAGAGCTGGTTTCAGGTGTGGTTTGCTGGAGGACAGGGATCTTTTCACAGACCTGTTTTCTACTCCACCTTTTCTATCGGCCCCAGGCATGCTATTTTCCAGTGACTCTGGCATTGCTCTTTCCAGGGGAAGCCCTTCGGCCAAACCCTCTTGTGCTGGTAAGCCCACTGGAGACGCATTTCTTTCCCCTCCTGTGGCCTCAAGGCTGCCTGGATTTCTGGAGGCCCCTGGCTTAGCCTTGCTCACAGCCACGGAGGTTTTCGAGGCTTCATTTAGACTGTCTTTTTCATGTTTCCCTGGCACTGTGGAACTTTTCCTGAGCAACTGGGGAGACTTCATGAAAACTTTGAGCCCAACTGGGAGGCGAGTTTTCAGTCCTCTCTCATGAAGGTCCTGACAAGAAAGAGAAAAAGAAGCCTGAGCTAGAGTGTGAGATGGAAGATGACCTTCACAGGGACATCGAGTTGGCAGAGGGTCCAGACAGTGGTCTGCAAAACAGAAATAACCTGAAAACACCGCCAGACATTTATGACCAAGTGAAGTTTGAATCGAGAAATAGACCCAGCCCTGTTCCATGTTCAGCGAAAGATACCTTTATGACAGAACTTCTGAACAGAGTTGATAAGAAAGCAGCTCAACAGACAGAAAGTGGATCAAATAATGTCTCCTGTAGGAGTGTGTTAAAGGGCAGCTCCCAGGGCTCCTGTCTCACCAGCAGCTCTCTCAACCACAAGAAAAACATCAAAACCAAAGCAGATATGGAAATACCAAAAGGCTCCCTGATAAGAGAGGCAAATGAACACCTGCAAGAGAATGAAGAAGATACAGTTGCAGATCCTGCATTTCAGAGCCGCAGCATAGAAACAAACTGCCAGATGAGGACCCTGGACAGTGGGATTGGAACCTTCCCACTCCCAGACGCAGGAACACGCGCCGCGGGACGGTACATACGCCAAGCAGATGCCCCTGAGGACACTGACCCCAGCCTGTGTCTCCAGCCGGCCCTTTGTGCAGTTTCTTCCATGAGAGCCCAGACCCTTGAAAGAGAAGTGCCTTCCGCTGCAGATAGCCAGGGCTCTGCGGACAACGCCATTGTTCACTCCGCATCCGACCCCATCATGACTGCCAGAGGGATGCGACCTCTTCAAAGTCTCCTCCCCAAACCAGCCTCCTCAGGAAAAATCAATTCCCAAATGCAGAGTGAAGCCGAGCCAAGTTCTCAAAATTGTTCATCATTCGAATATGTTGAAAACACAATGGCGAGCAAGCCACTTCCAGCCTGGGAGGGTGAAGGCGCTGCTGCAGAGACCCAGGACAAGGTACCCAGAACGTGTGCATACGCTGCCAGCGGTGGCAGTGAGAGTGACAGTGACCCAGAGTGTGGAAATAATGGTTTTGGAGCTGGAAGGGGCCAGTTAGTGAAAGCAATGAAGAGCGCCAGCCCAGAAATTGAAACAAGTTGAAGAAACAAGAGAAGATCCTGAGAACAGATTATGCAAAATTTCCCTGGAGTCATTCAATAAATATAACGGCAATACTGTGATCTTATTAGGAAAGGAGAAGAACTCTTTGAACAAGGTTGAAGGACAGAAGGAAGAAAAAGAGAAAACTGAAGAGGCCTCTTTGAGTAGCTCCGATAGGCCTGGGGTAGACCATCTGGAATCTTTGAGTGATTCTTTATATGACAGCTTCTCTTCCTGTGCAAGTCAGGGTTCAAATGATGTATAAAGGACTCCCCCCGCCCCATAGTGAGCTGGAAATGGAGCACTTAAGAAACAGGGGTGGGAGGAGCAGGGCAGGTAGAGATGACAACACGTGAACGATCGCAGTACCAGAGCCTACGCTGTCAGACTCAGAGCCAGCAGCCCACTGAGCTTTACTTCCCTGAGAGGGCAATAGAGATCGATTCTATTTGTTGTATTCCACAAGGATTAAAAGGAAACACACCCAGGATACAGAAGTCTTAATTTTGCACTTTTTTTTTGAATACTTGTACAGAAGTTGTAAATTTTCTTGAAAAAGAAATTATATTTGTAGCAAAAAAAAAAAAAATGCCAGCAATAAATTGAATCAGTGCCATGCTCTTGAAATGATGTCCTAAGTCTTAGAAGTTGATAATATATTTTTTAAAAATTCCAAACCAAGTTTTTGTTTAGGTCACTGTCTTAGTCCTCAGATTGTGGGTACACTCTGTAAAACGAAAACAGGGCCTGCCAGAAAAACAGAGGGCTCTTGTCATCTCCCTCTCATAATCTCAGTTTGATAGAAACTTCAATTCTAGTGCAAATTTCAAGTTGTTGACAGAAAGATTCAGGTTCTAGCAAGAAGTGTTATCCTGCTTCTATTGAAAACTGTAAAGGAACTCAAGTGCGACACTGATCAGAAGTGATATGTATCAGAAATGATGTAGTTCTATTTTCCCTCCAGTCATTTCCTTACACCCGCTTCTACTTAGTGGTTCTCTGTGATTCTCAACATTATTCGTTGATTTTTATCTTCCTGCTCTTTTGATTAAAATCTGATCAATCTATACATAAAAGCAGATTCCTATTTGCAATGTTCACTTTGTAAAAAATAAGATGATTGGTGCTATGAAAAATGCTTACTTTTAATATCCTTTTTTTCTACAAAGGCTGTTTATATGTAAGGATAAATTCTATTTTAAAGGTTACTGTGTATTTTTTCTAGATGTGAACTATTTATAATTGCTTTTGTACAGGAGCTTGTAAACTAGGCATAACAAATATTTTTAGGATCTGTGGATACTTTAGTACACACTTGTTTCTTTAAAGAGTATTGTATGATCAGTGTTATTTGGTTAATTTGTGCAATTTGTTACATTTGCATTTTGTTGTCTTAAAATTGTGTCTTTCAAACTTAAAAAAAAAAAGAAAAAAAACCTTCCCAACCCTTTTTTAGTTATATCTAAAATATTTGAAATTCCTCTAAAATGAACTAGATATGCATGCATGCTAAGTCGTGTCTGACTCTTTGGGACCTGCCAGGTTCCTCTATCCATGAGATTCTCCAGGCAAGAATACTGGAGTGGGTTGCCTTGCCCTCCTCCAGAGCACCTTCCCAACCCAGGGATGGAACCTGGGTCTCCTGCATCTCCTGCATTGGCAGTTAAGTTCTTTATCACTAACACCACCTGGGAAGCCCAAACTGGATGTATGTCTCCATATAAATATTCACCCACGCAGTAAAGATATGTTTCTATAAACAGACACAAATAGGTGCTCCAGTAGATGATGATGGTATCTGGCTCATTACTAACTCTACAAAAAAATTTTAAAGTCTCTGACACGCACTGTCTCCAATTCAGTTGGCTTAATTGTATTATCCCATTTATCAAGATTAAAAAATAAATAAATAAATAAATAAATAATTTTTAAAAAAAAGATGCTTATCAACAATCTGGAGTCTATTTTGCTAGCCAAAGTTGTCTACACTTCAAAAACTCCAAAATAATATCTTGCTAACAATTTCTCTCAGGAAAAATATTCCAAGGAGTTCCTGCTTACAATCAGATAACCCAAGGAAGCATTGCTCTGCTATTGTCATGGCTAGACAATTGAGGGATTAGTGTCTTCCTTGAAAACTACTAAAATCATGTCTGCTGTGCTTTATGGAGTGAGCTCCTCAGGTGCTCCATGACAACCTAGAGGATGGGATTGGGTAGGAAGTGACAGGGAGGTTCAAGAGGGAGGAGACATATGTATACCTGTGGCTGATTCATGTTGTTGTATGGCAGAAGCCAGCACAATATTGTAAAGCAATTATCCTCTAGTTAAACATAAATAAATTTTTAAAAATAAAAATATATATATAGAGAGAGAGAGAGAATTCCAGAGAGTACAATTTCAAAATGGTTGATAGCTGTCTGATTCTAGTCCCTGTCAAAGTTGTATAAGAGTTGTATCAAGGAAAGTTTGTCGAAGCCAGAACATGCAACCAATCGACTCTCCTAAATGCTCTAAATATCTGATTTAAGTTATACCACAAGAAACCTGCTAGGTCGGGTGGCACTAACTGCACATACAGCCATCTTCACTATGCTGTTGTCTTGTTTAATTCTTTTACTTTGTTTTACACATAAGCCACTAGATGGATTAAGTACATGAAAACTGTCCTTAAATGTGCTATAACAAAGTTGTTAGCAATGTCCTTGAAAATTCGTGATCACCTTTTCAATCTAAATCTAAATAATTACAGTGCTCTGTTGGGATTCACTGCCAGGAAGCTAAGAAGCAATTTTCTAGCCTGAAAAAAATAGTTTCGGGGATTTTTTAACAAAATATTTATTTTCTTCTTTTTCAAGATGCTGATTCTCAGCTTTTTATTGTATCATTGTATATGTCTTGTGAGTTGCCTTACACCTTTCAGGAATGGCAGGCTATAAAATGGTTAATATATAAATCTAGCCTTTTTTCTCTTCAATTCATCCTCCTCACTGCCACAGATTAAATCACATCTCTGGTCTCACAAATTCTCCCATGGCACTCTTAACACATAAATAATTAACGTGTAGTTTCTGAGTCTTGCACCTGGCATTCAGGTCTTGAATTAGCTGTCTTTCCAGTTCACCCAGTAATTGCTCCTCTGGCAGCACAAGCTTGCTGGCAATGCCTTTGTCTGTACATGCCCCTTCCCTAGAAAGTCCAGCCCCTCTGCCAGCCTTCCCATCTTTTAAGACACAGCTTGAAGAACACCTAACAAATGAAGTCTTACTGGATACAACAATGGAAACTAATTTTTCACACATTCCCACATCATCTACACCTTTACTTGCCACTGATAACAGACTGATTTTACAATATAAACAGACTAATTTCTGTAATAACAGAATCATAATTGTTACTTGGTGATATAATTAATAATGTATATTATTAAATGCTTTTTCTATCTAGTAGACACTATACTAAATGTTTTCACTTTATATTCTCTTATCTAAAATTCTAACATTTCAAAAAGATTTTGAAGGAATTACATAAGATTATGAAGGATCTTATAATGCAGAATTGATATGTCCTTATAGCCAGGGAAGAGAACATTAAAACACAGTCAGTTCAGTCAGTTCAGTCGTTCAGTCGTGTCCGACTCTTTGCAACTCCATGAAAAACACAATAAAGACCCCAAAACATGCAAAATCCCAATAAACAGTGAAAAGATTTAGATAGAGTCTGGGAAAGAAGAAGAAGGTATTAACAATAAATAGATATAAATATAGATATAGGATATAGAAATTCCATTATACTTTGCAACTTAAAATCACATCTAAATAAATTAATGTTACACATTTTAATGAAAGCAATGAGGCTAATCTAATATTCCCAAATTCCATAAATATTTTGAATACCAAAGATACACAGAAATACATACAGAGAGAAAGAAATTGAGGGAGGTATATATATATATACAATTTACTTATTTAGAACTAATTTTAAGATGCAAGGTATAATGGTATTTGGTTAGATTTCTAAACAGTATTGACATATTTAAGAAATATAAAAATCAAGATATGTATAAATTTTCTTCAAGTATGTATCAGGATTGTATTTGTCAGAAGGTTAATGTACTTGAAAATTGGGTATATCAGCTTTGCAAATTCAGTACCAGAGATTAATTAAATAAAGTTGTTCAATGGAGTAAGTATGGCTCCAAAGACCCCTTTAAAAAACTATTAACATTTCTAGAATTTTGATCAGATCAGTAATTCTAAGTTATTAGAACTTAAAGCTCACAAAAGCACTATTGTACTTTGTAACAGATAAATTGAATATTAATTCTGTAAACCAATGTAGCCCTTAAATCATCTTTGCTATACACAAAAACCAACTTCAAAGACACAAAAAGCCTACATTGATGAAAAATGAGCAGAAAAATAGATCTATGTGACACTGGGTAGAAAAGACGGGAAAATGTCTAGGAATCAACTCCAGAAGACTACTGAGCAATAGGACAAAGGCTGGGGCCGAAGGGGGTGGGGGCGTGGGTCGGGGAGGAGAGAAGAAGAAAGACATGGAGATTAAAAGGCATTGATGAAGAGATAAAAAGAAGAGTGCTCTCATATTTTCAGCAGAAAATTGCTTGTAATTTTCCAAGTTAACCAGGATGTGGTGATTCACACAACACATTGAGTACTATACAAACCAGCCAAGAGTGCTCTCATATTTTCAGCAGAAAATTGCTTGTAATTTTCCAAGTTAACCAGGATGTGGTGATTCACACAACACATTGAGTACTATACAAACCAGCCGTATCACTGGCTGGTCAATGACTCAGAGAGGTAGTCAGGTGGGAAGAAATGGGGTATTGTGGACAACTGGCACAGACATTAAAAGGCTTAGAAGATCCATCACCCACAATAAGGCCAATCCACCCCTTTGGTTCTTGGCAGTCACATCACACCCTTCATCCTTTCAAAGAGAAAAACACTGCCAGGGAAAAGTACTGTTGCTGCTAGAGGTTACCCGATCACACCTGCTTTAAATGCCAGTGTGAATGAAGTGTTGACACTTCACCTACCTACATTTTAACCTGAATTTCTCCAGACAATTGATTTCCCAGAAAATTAGCAGGTAAACACCCTTCTCAGCACTCCTGGGACTACTTGAAATACAGATAGGTATTTACATAAACTCTACACTCCAGAAAAGAGTAAATATTAGATTGGTGCAAAAGTAGTTGCAGTTTTTGCACTGTTGAAATTTGCTGTTTGATATTAG